CAAAAGGGTCCTATGTCAGTCACTGGATTTCAGCACTTGGAGGAGAGATGCAGAGTATGCAGAGAGTTTTGTTTACTCCACAATACAGATTTTGCCACCTCAGTCAAGTTTTGCTTTTTCCCTTCATGCCTCAGTGCAGTGTTGCTAGAATGACAACAAAGCAAGAGGATGACCTCACATTGCAGGCAGGGCTGTGATATCTGTAAACAGAATCTGCTCATAAGAAATATTATTAAATGCTATCAAGCTTCTGACTGTCATAATAAATGCATTCGGAGGCATTTGAAGAGGCTGGATGAGTGTGATGTAGGTGATCCGACTGGAACATGAAAAGAACTTAGGATGACAAGCTAAGTGAATAGAAAGAAACCTAATGGGTAGTGATGGAGCAATATGGTGTGGGTCACAGCTCAGGACCTGCACTGCTGATGAGCAGCAGAGCTGCTGGGAGGGATTTTGGAGGAATGGAGAGTTCCTTTCCTTGGCAGGCACCTCATCCATTTGGCACTCTGCTGAGCAGCCTTACTAGGGCAGGCACCCATTTGGAAATGCTTCCCAGTAAACATGGGCCGAATACCCCTCTGTACCCTGACACACACATTAAACATTGAGAGATTGTGTGAGACATGACTTTCATTTCTTTGGGAAATGAAATTGGGTATTTGTCCATAAGACAATATTGTGGAGTCACTAGCCAAATAAGTGTGAAATGAAAAGGGCACGTGGTATCAAAAAACAGTTCTCTGTATAAAATCAAGTTTTACTTAAACATTATGTTTCCAGATATTCAAACACTTCTCTGGAAACAGGCAACATCCATGAATATTAGTAAAAGTGAGATTTTGCTAAAGATCTTTCAAAGAGCTATGGTTTTGACTGTAAAAATATTTTCAAGAGATAGTCAAGAAAGTGTATATGATCTGACAGGGAGAAAAGCAAAAGGTGCTATTTTTGTCTCTTGAAAGACCTGTTATAATTACAACAGTTAAGAAAAAAGCAGATTACTGGCTCATCTCTTTTCACTCTGTAATATTTCGATCATTTGACACTCTTTTTGATTCAGTAAAAAGTCTGAAAAGCACTCAAAACCTGTGGGTTTTAGGATTAGGAGAGAAAAGGCTACTTTTTTTCAGCCTGAAGCTTATGGTAGGGAGTTACCAGGAATTCAGTATGCTGCTTTGGCAGATATATAACCCTGGTCACAGCTAATCATATGTTCTGATCCTTTTGGTGCAAAGGTGAGCATCAGAAGATACTTCGGATATGATCTTGAGTTCAACATAGCATAAAACATATTTTTAAATTAACTAAGTTTATGCTTACATAATTTCTGTAGCTTCCTTCAGCATAAATATCAGACATAAACCTTTGGACCGTTCTATTTTCCATTGATTATCCACAGACCAGTAATTCCCAAAGACTGAGATAGTAAATCCTTAGGAAATCATAACTGTATTTAACAATGAGAAAAGCTGCTACAACAATTATATGAATGAAGCTAGAGGTTCAATTTGGTCAACACAACAGAAGCACAATCTTCGCTTGGTGAAATGAAACTGTTTATACCAGTATTTGTATTCTTTTCCTTACAACAGAAGTGTTAACATCTGTAATTGGTTTGATACTTTTAAAAATGCTAATAGGACCTAGATTTGGATGATGTGTCTGAACCTGAAAAAATAAGTTTCTTTTGGTCAAAATAATTTCTTTCGGTCAAAATAAAAAGAATATGAAAGAAAAATAGCCTGACTGGGTTAAGCTGGAGATCCAGTTACCCCAGTAGCTTTTTCTGAAGTTTTCTAATAGCAGATGTTTAAATGGAAAAGTAGAAGAAACATGATCCTTCCCTGTTTATAACCTCTCTGCTTCTTGAAATCAGACGTTAAAAGATGCCATTGATTCCGTTGCTTGCTAATGTATCTAATTCCTTTTTATTTTATTCCTATTTATTTTTATACAACATCCTGTAATAATGAGCATCAGAATTTAATTATTGCATGGAAAGGTACTACCCATTGCCTTATTTAAACCTGAGATCAGAAGATTTCTCTGGATCTCCCTAACTGTGATTCACATTCACTGTTTTTGTATCCACTCTGATTTTGTAGACTTTAATTTCACAAGCCACGGATTCGAGGAGTAAAATAAAACAAATTTAAAGTGATGTAAATATTCTAAACCACATTTTTAAGAAGTGCTGAGCTAATTTTCTAGATGAAGTAATGCACCCAAGTTTGGCCTTTGAAAAGATTATCCTTTAGCTCTCCCTGCTAATAGGTTTGTCAACTGTATTGCTGAGCATTCTTAACACCTTTTCAGTGATGATCAACTACAAATGTCACCCTATGCATAATACCTTGTATCTTATCTCTGGATTTGGGATTAAAAAATACGTATAAACAGATGAAAATGCCTAAGAATTTATAAACCTGTAGAATAACTAGACATTTTCTACTTTAAAATCAGAGTTATTGCAAAGCAATTGTGGTACTACCTCAGGAAACATTTGTTGTGTGTTATTACCTTTTGAACATTGCTTTTATAGGGGAAGAAAGGACTAGTGGAGTGATTCAGGTAAAATTGCAGGAGGATAACACTTTTACCTGTGCAAACCCCTTAAGGATTCTCTATATTCAGTTAAGTTGTGGTTCTTTTTAAAAAAATGCTTATATGCACATCTCCTGGTCAAATTTAGGAATAGCCCATGAAAAGTCTTCTCTCAGTTTCATCTTTAGAGTAAACTAAAAAGTTCCATTTGCCCACTCAGTCATCAACGTGTGAGCCAAAGGTGCCACAGACACACACAAATTCATTCCTATCTGAATTTTGATTTTAATTTTGAAACAAAAGAGTTTTCCTGGACCTACTGCAGTCCTGTTTATTTGGGCTGAATTGCTTCCAGATTAAAGAAAAAAAAAAGGTAAAAAAGTGAAGCGTGGATAGCTTATACCACTTCTTTTTGAACACTGAAAGACCAAATGGAAATGTTGACCCCTAAAATGAACATACATGTATATTCAAATATGTACTTGAACATTTTATGTGGCAATGCTTAGTTTAAGAGTGAACCCTCCTTCTCTTTGTGCTCTTTCAATCACAGGCCTCCATTATCTTTTCCCAAAACTTTTGAAATTGTGGGACTTCATATGTATATATATTTTTTTTTTTCTTTTTTAGCAAGTACTAAAATAGAAAGCTTGGTCCCAAAAGGGTACAGTGGTCTTGGTCTGTAATTGCACAATTTCCTAAACTCTGAAACAAACAATGATGTTGAGTGGCTGGAAGATTAATGCTACACTGATGACAAAAATGGAAAAACTATTTGGGGAATCAAGAGCTAATTAAATTCTTGACAGACTCACAGGAATAAGGACCATTAGTTATATGAATGAATTATTCCCCTGAGGCTTTGATTATGTACAGGAAACAGACATTTAACAAGTGATTTTATTGGCAATATAAAACTTATTATCTCCCGAAATAAGTGGCAACATTAATTTACAGGGTTGCAAAGCACGGTCATTTCAAACTGAAAAACAGAATTCTGACTCCTGAAGAAATGCAATGAGATGAATCAATTCATTCTTAGTACATTTTGTTATGTATTTTATACAAAAGTTATCTGCATGTGCAAATAATATTCAGAGGCTGAAGACTGATTCCATGTGCCTTATAAGTCTCGAAAACCGGTTTCAATCAGTGCAATTGCAAATGAATTCAGGAACTATTCTGTAGAGCAATAAGAGGGAAGTATTTGAAAATCTGAAATGTTATTTTGCTGGTATATAGAGGCTTGGAAACTACTGCTCTAGGAACTGTGTGTTCATAGCAAGAGGAAATTCTTACCCCATTAATCTGTCTGAAAGGATGGAATAAACAGGGATAAAGAAATTATTCAGTACAGAGGGAAAGTGAAGCAAGAAGAGATTAAGAATGAGTATTTCAAACTATGCAAAGGCCACAGCAACAGTAGGTCTGGAAGGGACCTGCTGAACCACTTGGTTCTTTCCCTTGCTAGCACCCACCTATGACCATGTTCTCTCATCACACAGTTTTGGCCCTGCCCTGTTTTTTTTTCAGCCAAACAGGACTTTTTCCTAATGGTTTCTGAATCTCTGTCTCATAGTCTGCTCACAGAAGCCCTTAGTTGTAAATCCCATGCATGCCAACTGGACTGTTTTCAAAAATAAATCCCTGCAAATGTCAAGTATTTACTACTGCTACAATTGCAAGTTACACTTCTGCAGAAAAATACCTTAACAGCCAGGACTGTGGGCATTTCTCATGCTGTAATGCTTGCCAGCCAGATGGCAACACACAAGATATTAGACATCAGGCTAATGAGAACTGCTGACTGTTGGGTACAATCACAGCAATGCTGTGGAGTGGTGACAGCAGGAACGCTGCTCTATTCAGGCACGGCTGGTGGAAGGGAACTCTCATTTTTTGTGTTGGTTTGCCACTGTGCCTGCTGTGAAACACACCAGTGTTCAACGTCTGTCACAACTGTCAAAGCAGAACATCCAAACCCTAAATTTTTGCATCTGGGACTTCTTAACTTTCAACCCTTGATTTGATATTTAACAGCTTTTGAAGCCAGAGAATTTACACTTCTGGCCCTATTTCATTGAACGGTTATCCATCTGCATTAATTTTTCAAGTCTTTTCTTCCCTATCCCTCATTTAACTAAAATCACAGCTATCACAGAATGCTTTAAATTTTTTTAGTATCTTCCCATTAGGAGGCACTGTCATTCAGTATTATTATAAAAAGAATAATTGAATATTTCAAAGATTATATATTATATATATAAATATATAGCTTATTAGAATATATAAAATAATTTTATATATATACTAATCTCCTGTCTATATTTCGCTATTCTGTAGGTTTTGTTGCAACAACCTAAATATTCCTTATGATGCTAAAATTTTCTCTACTCTGAAACTTATAAAACAGTTGCAAAGTGCAATTTCAAAAGGTTTCACTATTTACCTACCCCTTTTGCGTCAATTACACCAGGTTTTGCATTGAATTTCACCGTCTTCAAACGTGCACGCTCCTTTCTTTCAACTCTGGGGATAAGAAGCACAAACAAAGAAACACATGTTGATTATATCAGCATTTTGTATGATACATTTGATATCTGCTCTCCCAAGACTTACTATACATAAAGCAAGCATTTAAAGCAAATTTCATAAATTAAAAAGAGAGGTCTCTTCCTCAGCCAAGCACCAGTTTTCTAGTAAACACAGGACTGGGTTTGAGGAGCCTTGGCTGCCCTGCACCAGCAGAACAGCACTGCCTCCTAACACACATGGGAGTGTGGGAAAAACATGCCAGGGACAGATTTACTCTCTCTAATTTAAGCTGTTCAAAAATGAGGCAAAATTTAGAGTTCTTCTATGGTCAGAGGAATGAAACAAGGATAGAGAGAGGATGAGCTGTGCACCTTAGTGCACTTTACGGTGGAGTAAATTTTAAATCGTACAAATAACGTAAAGTGAATCCCACAATTCACTTAAATATAAGGTTAGTCATGTCCTTACCTTGATTAATATGGACGTTATTGTAAAAGTGACATCTCCTACCTTTGCAAAATCATCTACAGAATCTATCACTTGACTCAAGTAAAAAAATCTGATAATCCACTGGCTCAAGTAAAAAAATCCAGTCATCTACCTGAAATTGAAATTCTAGCCCTATTTGTCTAAATTGGCAATTGCTTTAAGAAATCTAAGTTGAATCTTGCAAAGCTAGCTTATAAGAGGTCAATACTGTGTTTTTACTGGACAACAAATAGTTGGGAAAAAAGTGAGGTTTGTTATATCCTCCAAAGTGGTCCTCATATGGCCTTTTTTTCCAACTTTCACAGTTTCCCACAAATGTCAATAGAATACATTCGTGCAAATCTTTTGGTTTCTAAGTCTGGGTAGTACGAATACATAGTTTCTGATAATTATTTTTAAAAATAAAAACTCAAGTGTTTTGATAGAATGATAATTAACACAACATGTTTCCTTCTGTCTGAGTAGGCTTATATATGTCCTACTGAAAAACAGTGAATGTTGGTTACTATAGCTACAGTTTAAATTTAGATTAAATGCATTTCTCTGTACGTGTGGAATATTCACATGGAAACAGCTCAAATGCAACTTTCAAACTAAATCTATGTTATTAAAAAGCCATGAACAGTCTCAAACTAAAATTAGAAGATGAAGTCCCTTGGTAGTACCAGTAAAAATGAAGACTTGAGGCTGTGTAATTGCCTAAATAGGATGGATACCTTCCGAGGAAATAATTAGCACAAATGAACACAATATTCTACTTATGAATCTGTGTTAACATTTAAACTCATTCCAGCCCTGCCTAACTTCCTAAAACATCTGTTTTTAACTATTTCTTATTCACTGCATAAAGTAATTTGGAAATTAACCCTGAAGAGTGAATATTATGAAGTTTATAAAAATTGCATTAGCAGCCATGGAGGCATTGCTGCCTTCTAGAGGCATAGCAGACAGATAATAAACTGCAGAAACATTCTGCATTGCCTTAAGAAGTTTTTAAATAGTGTCATTAAGTGTCATTAATCCTCCAGGCAAACAAAGCAACAATGTTCATATATGCTCAGCATGCCTACTGAATATTCCAAACATTTCATCATCTGACACTGTGTTAAGGGTAGCACACAGTGTTGCCTCCCATTACAATTTTCCTGACACCTTCCACAATAAAACTGTTCTCAGTTACTTATAATTTAGCTGAACTATAAACTTCTGAGCTGAAATTTTCTATGTTTCAGGCTGATTACATTACTGTTACTGCCTGAACTGTCAAAGAAATAGGTTAGCTATTAGAAAAAGGCTAGGACAAAACAAATGGTTTTGTCCAATTTATAATATACTCTTAAAGTGCTTCAGCTCAGGTTCTCTATTGCCTTCATGTCTTTGGTTTGGGACTTGAATTGTGGCAGTGGGTTGGTCTAGTGGTAGGAACAACCTCTCTTTTTCCTGAAGGAATCAAGTTTCTGAAAAGCTTTGGTTTTACGTGTTCTGGAGAACTCTGTTTGAATTTAGCTTTGGTTCTTCAAAAATTTAATCTTTGTTGAAATGGTCAAGATGCAGGACTGCAATGAACTTTTATGTTCCCAGAATTTCTCATCTGGGCTACCAGGACACTTTTGCCATAGACAGAGCTAAAAAGGGAAGTAAAATGATGAAGATACAAAGTTTTGAATACCAGTTCTTTTAGATTCATTCATCCAGCTCTTAGAAAATATGCTTTTTAAAGGAACACTAATTCAAACATTTTTGGCACTTCTGAATTTTCAGGGTTGTAATTGCTATATTTAAAGAAAAATAAAGTTAACTGCCTTTACTTCCCAAATTAAAAAGTAGTTTAGGTCCAAAGGGTTATTTGCAGCAGCTGATACATTTTGATCCATCATCTGAAGAAATTGCTTATATATAGGAAGGAGTGTTTCACTTTAAACTGTAACCATTTTTCATTCACCACTGCTGCACAAAGTAGGATTATGGGGAGTTGTGCAAAAACATGAAGAGAAGGAGGAGGACTCCTGTCTGCCAAATTTGCAGAGGCCCAGATATGCAGCCCTGACTTGCCTGATGTACACATTGCTGCTGTGCCCCTTTCTAGTTATATATTTGCTTGATACAGCTACACCTAAGGGATCAGGAAAGCATAAGTACCATTTCCAAAACAAATTCATGGCTCAAGTCCCATTTTCAAAAGTGCCTGAGAGGTCACCGACACTGAAAGAGAATTCAAGAAATGTTGAAAGAAACCTACTCCCAGCATTCAAACATAACTTGGGAGCTGAAAAGCTCTGAGCCCCGAGCACCATCTAGCACAACTGATGGGGATTTCACCTCCATCTTCCCACCCATTCTCCAAGCATAACTCCCTGCAGAAACACAGCTGTGTACAGGGAAATTATCTAAGACCATCTGAGATATGGGACAGTTGGAGTATATGCTGTATACTCACTTTCCCTTTAAAACATTCCTGGTAGTAGACAAATTTTGGCCCTTTTTTTCGGAGATGGTCAAGATTCACTCTCTTCTTCCCATGTAAAGCTAAAAGGGTGGAGCAGTACATTGAAAACATACTTCAGCCTTCAGGTTCCCTCACTAGCAAGTTCAAGACTTCAGTTCTTTGGGGGGCTGTTCTCTTCCTGCTCCTCTGAGGAACTTATTATGGGATGCAAGACTTATTACACTGCAATGTCTATATGCTTTTGTGTTTCTGGCCACATGTAGCTGTTCTAAATGGGCCTGTGGGATTTTTCAAAATGAGACTTTCAGTTCTTCATGCTGCAAACAAGAAAAAAAATCAAATATAACTCAACAAGACATGAACTGTGATTGCCCGTTGTTGGAGTTTAATGGACCAGTTTTGTCAGTGCCTTTCTAAAAGCAGAGATGTAAAATATGAAGTGAGACATGCTTTAATTTTCAATAACAGTATTCATCACTGGTGTAGAATACAGATGCAAATTGCAAATTGGTTTCAATGATGAAATAAAATTGTAACAGTAGCCTAATTTGCACAGATTTGGCATTGAGGTGTTTTGCACAATGAAAGTTATTTCCAAATCCAGCATGAGTACTGTAGTGAGGAGAGTAGCAAATAGGAAAAAGCAATGCAAAATGGGTACTTGAAAGACCTTGCTATAATTTGTATCTTTATTAGTATGTCTCTTCTTATCTTGCTTCCCCATTTCCAGGTCATCTGCATTATATTTGTTTTGCCTGCCCATCAAGGGAGAGATAAGTGAAAATACATACATACTATTTATAGTTTAAATCAGTGGTCTCAGTTCATAGCTTTTTATTGATTCCATCCTTTACACTGCTTACTATTGTTCATGCGAGGTCTGAGCTTACCAACAGATTCCCATTCTCAAAATTATTTTTGAGCATTCCTGAAGTAGCATTTTTGCAACTGAACACGTATCTTTCAGTAGGAGAGAATGTGCTCTGGTTCAGCTCTCCGTCGTCAGTGACTTGCTTATAGAGAGCAGCTCAACTCCTAGTCCATATTTATGACAAGAGTAGACCTAATGACATTAGGAATTGAATTCTCATAAAATTGTAGAACAGTCTTTTCCTGTTTAAAAGCTAACAGCTGTTTTCCTTTGGCACAAAAGTCTCCCATCATTGCAAGAGCACAGGAAGAGGTTTATACCTACATATACATACCGATTTTATTCCATACTTAATTTTTCCAATTAGATTAGTAGGTATAGTCAGGTAACTTATTTTAGACAAAGCTTACATGATTATGCCATGTTAAAAAGTTTTATCATCTAAGCATTAGAATCTTATGGGATGTTTAGAAAGGTAGACAATTTATAGAAAACCATTAAACACAAAACTCACTTGAGTGGATAAACATGCCCTTCTGCCAAGCTGAGCAGAATAACAAATTTAAGCTGGCTTTTTGCCCACAGGGACTTCTGTGCTGGGAAAACCTCGTGTTTCTTGTCCTTAAATGTTTGTGAAACATTGGGTTTTATGTACTTTTCCCCCCACTTTGCTCTGAAAGAAGAGCTTCATTACATGTGTTTGTGGGGAGAATGTTGTGTATTTGAGAATACAAATATCAGGCTGGTACCATCATACACCTCCAGCTGGTAACAACAGAGATATAAGTTGCATAACATTTTGCAGTCAGATGTACTTAAACTACCTAAAAATGAGTATCTTAGAATGATGTCCAGCCTGACAGCAGTTTTGTGACTGCACATCTTAAAGACAATAGAAAGATTAATGTAATTATTTCAGTGTTTTAAGGCCAAATCCTCACTGTCTGCAGTAGTAAAAGTGGCGAGAATTAATGCTCAGCCATTCTGGGGCAATCTGTGTGAAATCTCAGGCTGTATTTCAGACCCACAGACTCAAGTCAAGCAGATATGAACACATCATAGAAAATACTGAAGCTTGACATTCGTGAGGTGGGAGGTTGCTGTTGTGGGGGGGCTTGCAATGTAGGAGCTTGTTTGTGTGCAGGGACTCAGCAAAGAAAAAGTGAAAAGAACTGGAGGTGTAAAATCAATGCTACAGCAAATTAAAATCTCTTTACTACTGAATTAGAGTATCTGTTTAGGAATTTAATACACTCTGACTTATGCACATTGGTTTTGTGCATTTTGTTCATTCTAATGTGAGTGTTTCCATGGGCAGGCAATCTTAGACATAGGCTGCTCAGCTTGCTGCTGCCCTTTATGGGAAGCTTAATTTGTTTTTTTTTTCATATGAATAATAGGAAGGACAACAAGGCAAATAAAAATTCTCACGATCAAAAGCACAGCACATGTAGAAATTCTAATCTAAATCTATACATATATACATGTAAATGTAACAAAAATCCAGTATAAATCTAATTCTGTTGGTCATTTTACTATACATAGTAATTTTCAATGATAAGGGAGCAATTCATATACATAAACATAGCACACTGGCAATACTGCAGGCTGCCTGAGACATTGGTACAGAGCTGGTAGTTATGTTCCCTCATCCTGGACATCCTTCCTGATATAATTGTGCCTTACTGTCACCTTAAACGTAGCTTGGATAAATCTTTTGGGAAGATGTGGAACCAAGAAAAATTTGGCCTGAAATGTTCATTGATTAATACTATATAATAACTATTTTGTGATTGGTAAATTGCAACTGAAGTGGTTTGCAACCTCTTATGCTGAAGTCCCATGCTTTCCAACACCAACATGATACAATACCACAACACCTTTATAGCATTATATTTGGTTCCTACCCAATTGGCTACTCAATCCCGTGGTTGAGAACAACAGCTGTAATGAGACAATAAATACATACTGACAAATGGACAAAATGTTTTCAGATGTAGAAATGGTTGCAATTGTATTTAAGAACTGAAGGGTACTGAGAATTTAATTTTTGTTAATCTCCATAGAGGTCATTGGCTCACTGGTTCACGAGATTTGGTCCTTGCACAGATCAGTGGAGAAACATGGGGCTACCCCCATTTCTTTGTGCTGCCTCTTTCAGTAACCTCCTCTAGCTGCAGTGTTGCCCTCCAATACTCCCTCTTAAAGCCTGACTTTTCAATTTAACTATAAAAAGGGCAACAAGTACACACATTGGCAGCAGGACTGAAATCTAAGGACAAAAAATCTTTCAAATGCTATTAAATCACTGAGAGGTATAGTTTGGTAATGTATCCAACATCCTGGAGAGACTAATGAGTGGCAGCTCCCCTATAATTCTAAATTATGATTTCTTCTGGTATATCACTTATGTCATAGAGGAGTCTTGATTTATCATTCAAAATTTCTTTATATCAGTTCATGCTAAAATGTCACTGCATGATGGGTTGTCCTGTAAAAAAATAAAAAACCCTATATACATGGAAAGCAATCATCATTACATGGCACCTCAGAGAAGTAATATAATGTACTTGTTATTGCTTTATGTGTTTATATACATACATACATACATACATATACATATATTTGTGTACATGTGTATATCTCTCTCAAAAACAGAACTGAAGTGGTCACTGGCTTTCAGAGGTATTCTATAATGATTTAACTCATGGAAAATGCAGTAATTATATCTTAGCTGTTGCTATCTCAGGAGCTGAGATAGCAAAGCAGATAACTAAGAGATTAACCCTGGAACTAACAATTCCTGGATCTCTACAGCCTCTCCCTGGCTCAAAGTGCAAAAAACACCAAAGTGCAAAATCCCACAGGATAGTATTCCACAGGCAGGAAAAGGAATATAAGCACAACACCAAAACCAAACCCCACCAAACCAACCCCTCAGAAAATGCAGACCCTATAATAAAAGATACAGAAATGAATGGGGGATTGAAAAACATAACACAAATATAAAATCCCTTCAATTTAAAACATTGAAGGAAGTTGGGCTTTCACTAGTCAGAGCCCAAGAAACAGCTACAGACTTTCTTTTATTCCTTCCTTTCTATCACAATATTTTACTGATAGATATTACATACGTTATATGACATATAATAGAATGTTTATAGAAATAATCCCATATAAAGTATAAGATGCATAGCATTCTGGAGTCAATAGCTTAAATGAAGGTCTCCATGCCCTAGTACCCTATATTTAGTCAGATGAATCCCAGGCCTTTAGATAAAGCCTCTTACAGTCAATAATGCATACCTGCAGAGGAAATTCAACTCTGAATTAGCACAAGTATGATGAGCTTTATTTTCTTTAACTCAGCCCTGTGCACATTGATTTCTCATTCTCCCCTTGGGTGGTGTAAATGACCACAGAAAGTGCTGGCAAGAGCTCACCAGTATTACTGGCTCCAGAATCCACAGAAAAGAAACAATACTCACTTTTCAGTGCATTGGAAAAAATAACCTTGTGCCACTGAAACCTTATGATCTAACAGCAATGTCCTCCCATTCCAGCTCAGGTGTATCACGTCATTATATTAATGCAGACAGAAAATCAGATGCCATTGATTTTTCCAAGCTTCTCAGATTCACTAGTGAAGAATCAGGATAACAAGTGGAGAGCATGGTAACTATACCTGCATCTTTTAAAAGACTCTTATTTTTAGTTTCTAACTAACCTATTTTCATCTTGTCTCGTCTCTCTTTTTTTAATTTTAATTTTTTTTTCATTCTGTTTTCTCCCAGCATTTCCTAAGCTACATCTTATTCCTAGGCTCTCTTATATGTCTGACCTTGACTAGAGAACCTCTGTCTTTTGTCCTTGAAAACACCACTGTGCGGGTAACCCAATAAGCTTTAGGCACATACAACCTCTTCACCTTAGAGGATATACAATTCCACATCTTAATTAGCTGCTTCGCTTTGCCATTTCCCCCTGTATAGTTCTTTTATTATGTAAGACAGCTTTTTGTAGTTTTTCATAGGAGACACCACACTGTGAGTGAGCTTTGTGCACTTCCCTTAGTGTTAACTGAATAAACTTCCCTCTTTTTCCATCTGTGATCCAATCGTGTCATTACAACAGTGTTTACTGTAGCAGGTAAGTATTCCTTTTTAAATATCTAGAAACTAAATCTGGTTAATGAGCACATTTTTCTGCCTTAAAAGTTATAACCTAGTTTTTATTTCTATCTATTATCCAACTTCAAAATTGCTCTTTGCTGAAAAAACAGGTGTGGTTCCTATTCAAATATGGTCATGATTAGAGAAAATAAGGTCCTTACAGGGCTCATGTGAACAAGGTACTTGATGGCCTTTCAGTTTACTTTTATATGTTTAGAATAACGAGTACCATAAGCTCTATTAGTACCTGGGCCAACTCTCTTGAAACAGCAGCGGGTGCTCTATAGAGTATCAAGCATCCCATTTCCCTACCTTAAAAAATGGGCATGATATTTTTTCATATTAATGCTAAAGCTGAAATAGCTAAGAATAAAAAGTTTATATTCAGTATGAGAGCACTGCTGCAAAAGGGAAATATAATATGTTTTGACAGATTTCATTTTCCTCCTACCCTTTCAGTTCTTGACCTTTCTATAGTAACTATCAACAGAGGCAGGAAGTAATACTGATTTGTGTACTCCTTCTGATACTATCAGAGACTTGTGGCAAATTTTACAAAAGCATCTAGACAGAATAAACAATACAAACAATGAGAGAGATTCAGATGTCTGTTCTCTCTCCAACAGTCACCACGAATCCATCACAGAAAAACAAAGATTCAGATTTAGCTTGGAGAGCAGCTGAAAGTTCCTTCATTTACATTATATGAAAAATTTACTGTGATATTGATTATCCATCAGTTTCCAGGCAAGCAAAGACTAAGAGATTTTGAAGCTAAAGATGACCATTATATAATTTAGCACCATTTTTTTACATCACACAGGCTGAGAAGTTTAATTCTATTAGTCTCTCAAAAGAAAGACATAGAGTCTTGATTTGAAAATGTCAAGACATTCATTACAGTTTGATGCTATGGCTAATCACCCTGACATTAAAACATGCGCTCCACTTCAAATTCAGGGCTAATTCCCAGGCTTGGGTTCTGGTTATTCTTCTTTCTGCAGAAGCTCTTTAGTAGACGGTGATCTCTTCCTCTTCCCCTCTTTCTTTGTGAAGTTACTAATCCCCTACAATTGAGTCACCTTTTGAGTTTCTTTTCAGTATAGTTAAACAGTCTGAATTCCTTAAATCTCACAGCAAAAATTGTCTCCTCCAACTCTTGAAATAACTGTGGCATTTTCCTCAACTTCCCCCAGACTTTTAGTAGATTGATGCACACTGTCTTTGGAAAAAAAATTAAATATTTTAACATAATGGCCAAGGATGTAAAAAGAAAGAGGCAGCACTCACCTCCTCTTGCTGGGTATAACTCCCATTTCCTCACTGTCTCCCTCCAGAGTGACCCTCCTCGCCTGCCACCATTCATCGTCTGAGGCGTTGATGACATGAAGGATGTCCCCATACTTAAAACTGAGTCCTTGGCTTGGGAGGCCACTGTCTTTGCTCTTGTCATAGTCAAACATGGCTCTGTGAAAGGAAATAAAGATATGAAGACAGGTGATTACATCAGTCTTGGAAACATTTACTCTGAAGAACTAATCATATTTTACGTTACAGCTAACCTTTGCTTCTTTCCAAAAAGCCCCTCTTGTCAACTTGCCAACAGCCATGTGTGGCTGTTGAGCCTGTGTTTTTTTCAGACTTTCTTTTGGTCAGACAGGGGTTGTCTGGCCCACAGGGGTGCATTGGGAGGACTAAACATAAGGGACCAAACCCACACTCGGTGTAATGCATTTCTTTAGGTGAATGGATGCATATATCTTAGCATCTAGATCAGACTAGAAGTGAGCTTTCAAAGGGAATCTCTTGATTATTCCCACTCACAGTGCTTTGGTTGATGTCCTGGAGCTGTGTTGGGTTGCCAACATTGTATTTCTAAAATTTGAAACTAAACAGACAGATGCCCTGACTGGAGTAGTGCTAGTCTGACATACACCCCCCAAATGCACCTAGGGTGCAGACAGCACCACAGATTTCACTCCCTGTGTTCAGTCCCCTGGTAGTACAGCATCTGATCAAGCAGCCCTAGCTCTTTTCTTCAATGCTGAAGGTGTTTCCCATCAGTTTGAAGTGGACCTCCACCTTGGGTATGCCTATACAAAAAAGCCCCATGTATAGGACATGTATGTGAACATAGGATGTATATCTAAATCCAAGGACTCCATAAGCACAAACTGAGAGCCAGCTTTAAGGCACCTGGGTATCAGACTGTGTTTGGGTATAGTTCAGCATGAATTTGCTGCCTAAGTGTTTAACCTAGATCCTGGGAAAGACTTTCAGCCTGCCCTGAGCTCTGTATTACCAAGTTACAGTGATACCAACTCTGAGCCTCATTCAGTCCTATGCCTGGCACCTACACCAGCAGTCTTCAGGGTAGATGTACCCCAGTTTTTCAGGGGAAGACCCTGCACATGAATCCCAGCAAGACTGCAAATGAGTGCAGGTCACTCATTGGAGTTACCTAGCTAAAAATCGAGATCTTGGTTTCTTACACCAAAAAATACTTGGAAATACTTTTCCTATATAAAATATCGTTTAAAGATCATGCCTGTCAAGAGCTGATATTTATTTCCTATAGGGAAAATGATATGATTATAAACCTGGCTACAGAAATGTTAGATCAGTAAAATCCCAATGTGTCTGATAACTCCTACTCTTTTATTGTCAGAAATAAAACCGTGCCAATCTCTTCATTGGTACACACTTCTTTGAGAAGGATCTGATGTAATTAATTGTTGTGCATTGTAGTATAACTGCAAAGAATGATTATAGCAGCTTTGTGGGTAGATTTAAAACACTCAAGGCTACCTCTTACAATAAGGAGAACTTTGAAAGAAGTTATGACTATAAAAGAGTTGTGACTATGCACTCAAAATAATTTAAAACTCTCATAAACACTCATTCTGCATGGAAAGTATGGTTCAGTAGGAAGAAAAATGCTACTGAAATATGTCTTCTTTTAAAGAGTTTACAGTCTTGTACTAACATCTTCAAAAATGCCCAGATAATTCCCTTCTCTGAGGATAAAGACTGCTGAATTTTACATAAGCCATAAGCTTAGTTACGCTTGTGCCTTTCTTGGTAAATGTTCTTGGAATGCATGTAACCTTTGGAAAAAAATGATGGCTTAGTAATGGAACAGTTTCTTTAAAAACTTGGCTATATCTGACTAAATATTTACATTCATAAAGGATTCTTATTAGTATCAGTCATCTGCTGCTTCTCAAATACAGCTTTCTGTGAGGACATTTGATGAAGAACCTTATATATCCAGTTAAGTATCATTAGACACCTCTGCTTAACCAATTAATGATACCTGATCTCTGGAAAATGGCAGTGCATACACAAACAGGCATACTAATGTATCACCTTGTTGGTGTTGCCCTTTTCAGCATGCTGTGGTCAGAATTTTACCATTATATTGAACAGTCACTGTCTTAAAAATTCACTGAATAATTGTGTACCTTGCCATGGAAGCCTATCAACATCTCAAAACCCCTAACTACACAGTTGGCAACTGTGCTGATTGCTGGGCAGATGTCATATAATCCTGATTCCAGGAACAATTAAATTACCCAAAATGAAGGACAATATCTTCTGTTGCAGATAATAAGCAAGACTGCCATATCCCAGATGTAAAACACCTGCCATACCGGAAATGCTCTGTATTTGTCGAGTTCTAAGACTGAGGTGGTGTTTCAAAAGCTAAGTAGTTGAAAGAAAGTAGGACAATGTTCTTTGTCCTTGAACAGACTTTTTCACTTCAGAGCCCACGTGTTAACTTAAAATCAGACTGCCATCATGCTAGCTGATGTTAATGACGAATGCAGATGGCAATGTTTGCCACTGACTTGCTTTGATTGGAGTAATCATGTGCAATGCTAATTAAAATGAGATTATAGATCTCAGACAAGAGAATTTTTGAGCATACTTTTCACTGAAAGAAAGATTTTGTGGCTGATGCTCTACAGATGTTGATTACTCCATTAGCAAATGAAAATGACATGAGAGCTGACTTCAGTGCTCTTTCCTAAACATTTCAAATTAAGAGCCAGGTCTAAGTTGGTAACACAGCCGTATTTTTGCTTACAACTTTGATAACATTTCTGGCTTTGTAAAACATACTTCTGCAAGTTGGCTGCTGGCCCAGCTGTAAAGCAAATGGAGGTCCTCGCTCTAGGCACCGTTGTATGCATGTAGAAGTGAACATGACTACCTTGGGCAATAGGGACACCTGGGCATTCTCATCCTCACCACCTCAGGATGCAAGTGTAATTTGGATCTCTATTGTGTCCAATTGCAAAATCTAGTTTGAGAGGCTGGCATGTCATTTCTAATTTTCTACCTGATGAACAGCACCCAGTTCTGTTTGTGCTCAGTCTTGCAGATGTATGTAAAAATAACACCTCTGCATCTGCTGAGTGTCAACTGAAGTGATACAAAACTAATGCAGCCAGACCTCTTGTTTGGTGAAGGAACTGGGCAGGGCAGACAGAAAAAGATGCTTTTTTTTGCTTTGCCCGTTCATGTTTTTAGACAATGATATCCAAGTCTTACAGGACACTATGCTGCATTCTGCAAGCACTGAAACTTTCATCGGAGTCAAGCTCAGCCCTCAGCAAAGTCTATTTGTTCTATGTAAGCTTCTTTACCCAGATAACATACTAAAGTATGTTAGAAACCTTAAGTGGGTTCTTCCATGCCATGGGCATTATTGGTGGAAAGGTTAAAAAATAGTGGCATCTTTGCTAAATGTTGTGTGTTGAGGAGAGAACATAAGCAACTCAATCCAACAAGAAAGCCCCCCTTGCAAAGAGCAACCATCATTCCTCTCTGAGAGATGAGCACCATATTTTCCTTTCAGTTAGAGAAGGACCAGAAAAATAGTCTTCCAAAATGAGATGTCTAATAGTGTGACAGGATAGACCCACTCTGATAAGACCTAAAATCCAATCAAGCTATAATGCAACCCATCGTGCAAGATCAAATGCTGAAGCCAGAGTGTTGTCTTGGTTTTAATGATACTAAAACCATCCTGGTTCATCACACTTCAAATACACATCCTGCTTTTTTGAAGTCTGATTGGACAGATAAGCTGATAGTTGGCCTGTAAATGTGTGACTAGCAGTCAATCACTTTATAATGTAAAAGTCCAGTCCTCTTTCATACATTCAGGTTCTTCTGATGTAACCCTTCTTGGGGGGTACGTGTGGCGATTTCTCCCTTGGGCGGGGGATGCCCCCCAAGGTTACTCCTTGAGATTAAGAGATCTCCTCATGAGTATTGGTATTGGTGAGTTACATCAGATCTCTACTTAATAATTATTTCTTTTTGCTAGCTTTAATATAACTGCTTCAATAATTGCTTTGTTACAGTGGGTCAAAAGTGGTTCCATCACATCTCTGTAATTCCTTAAATTTAAACTATTGACATAATCCGAGGCTAAGATTGGATGCAGCCTTGCCTAGACTCCTCTCTGAGAAGGAGTTTAGAAAGCCAAGCAGTCCTTTCTGCACCTTGTGACTCAACAGCAGAGCTTTTCAATAAATTTTGTCTAAACCTTCCACTCCCACCCGTAACAAATGGAAATGGCAAAGAAGTGTTATTCAAACCAGCCAGAGGATTTAACCCATGAAGACATTGCCTCCCTCTGTGATGAATTAGGGGTGTCTCCACAGAATGCAAGCACAACAGTGCAGATACTGGAGAGCCTGCTCAGCAGAGCTAATGAGCTTTCTGAACTTGCTAATATGACTATACAGTTTCATATGGCTGAGTCTGTTTATTCATGGGTTGCTTGGGCAGTTCTCCAAGGCACTGAGCTGTAACTCATGTTTAGTGTCTTTTACTGCAGTATTAAAGAATAATAATCTCAATGACCTTTCAATTTTCTAATGGTATTTATCTGACAGCATTGAACACTAACAGTTTCTTTCTTTTCCTCTACAACTTATAAAAGTGCATCTTAAAGCACATCTTTGTGTCCATCTTTGTCTTTCAGGTGTCTTTCATGCTCAGCTAAGTGCTTGCACACACTGTTCAACCCTTTTTTGGATTATATAGGACAGAACCCAAACCAAGGGTTTCTACAAGGCTTTCTCTGTGGCAGTAAGGCTTTTCTTTCCAAGTCAGCTGATTAAGTCTACTTTTGCATTGGGATACTCAAGTTTTAATAATGAAGGGAATCAGTTTGAATTATTTATCTTTCATTCTAGAGCTGTCATCAATGTTATGACTACATCAGCATCAGAAAAACTCCTATTCACTATCTTCTGGACAGTGCACTTCACAAACAGGGCTCGGGGTTACACAAGATAGATAACAGATTTTGAGGTTACAAATACAGTAAACACAGTGATTACTATGAGATGTGAATAAAATACTGAAATAGGGAACAGAGCTTGCTACTAACTAGTTAAACAGATGTAGTGAAATCATGATTTGGCCAGCTTAGCTCCCTTATTAGA